TTGTGTTCCTGGCAGCCAGGTCCAAGGTAACAGCCCTCAGCCCTCACGAAGGTCTGGCTCAGGCCTGGGAGCCGGGGTGGGACGGGGTCGCTCTGACTCGGCCTGAGGAAGCGAGCACTGTTCCTGGGATGCCGGCCCCTGCATCTGCCCTGAGCACCTTCCTGGTTCCCGGAGCTGGCACCAAGCAGGGGCCCCTGCAGCAGCCTGCAACATGGATGGAGGAGTGAAGTGGGCAACCTCTTACCAAGGAGCTGTTCTGGGCCGCCCGGGCGGGCACCTCTGCTCTCACCAGTCCTCTGCCGCAGCCGCACGCCCCCGCTGCAGGACACGTGTGTCAGGCAGTGTGTGGAACCACTTGGTCCTCCCGCCTCGTGACCCGACATATTTATGGTTTCCACTTCATTTCCAACGGAACAGATCTTGTCTTCCAGGATCCTGTGATGCTGAGGTGGGGAAGGAAGCCACCCAGGCTGGACCAGGACAGGGAAATGGAGGCCCAAGAAGGTATCGGCCTGGCCTGGCACCATCCATCGAGCAAGGGGAGATACTCAGAGTGGCCCTGAGGTCCCAGGTCACTTCTGGGTTGCTCTTGACTGAGGCTGTCCAGGAGGTCAAGGGTAAACATGATTTCTAAGCTACGGCCTTCTGTAGCTGCTTTGTGCTCCGCTTGGCCAGGGAATGACTTTAAAGCGGCACGGGTGGGGGACTGGCTGCCCAGTGGCCACGGCGTTCGCTCGGCCCTCGGCCCTGACGGCTGAGCCTCAGCCGGGCCTGCCTCCGGCCCTGGGAGCAGGGTCTCCTCCGCAGCCAAGAGGAAGGAGGGAGGCCTCCATGCCCGGCCCTGGTCCCTGGGGGCTGTGAGGGACAAGCAGAGGCCAACTTCCTGGACAGTGGCCCAGGAAGATGTGGCAGACGGGTGGCAGGTGGGCAGCAGCTGGGCGGCTCACGCCAGGGCATCCTGGGAGGACGAGGCTGTCTGTTGTGCAGTGGGCCGGGCCGTCGGGCTGCCCCCACCCACTCAGGCCAGCTCAGCCTCCGCTCCCTCTCCAGGGGCTGCGTTTCCCAGAAATCTGCTGCTTGGGTCATGAACCTCGGGTCAGGAAGGGCTCCGAGAGCAGCTCCTACTCCACTGAGTGGCGGACAGAGGACATCCGGGGCCCGCGAGGGGAGGGGACAGACCTCTGACCTGCTGGTGAGTGGCCCAGTCAGGAGTGGGCTCCCCAGAAACCCCGTTAATCCGTCCCTTCTCCAGTGACCATGAACCAGCCTTGGAGTCATTGTGTCCACGTGTCTGTGCCCCACCAGATGGCGAGGCCTGGGGCGGCGGGGGCGGCCCCAGTGCTGGGCAGAGGGCCTGGCAAAGATGTGCTCTGTGGGTCTTCCTCAGGGTGTCAAGGTAAATGGCCCTCCTGTCCCCAGGTCTGCACCCCCCTGCTGCTCTCATCCTGGCCCTTTGTTTATGACAGGGTCTTGATATCCTCCTGCCTCAGCCTCTCCAGGGCTGGGATTACAGGCTTGCCCTCCCACACCAGATCGCACCCCTTTGTGCTGTGAGTATCTGGGGGAGTCTTTTAAGTCTCCCAGGGCTTCATGCAGGAGAGCTCATGTTTCTAACGGGGGTGGCCCAGGACAGCAAGGAGCAGGACAGTCCTGAGGGCCTCGGGCTTGGAACTTGATCTGGAGTTTGCCACCCCCCTAGTTTACCTGAAACTAGACTCCTGGGGCATGGGACATTCAGTGCTAAGGAGGCGTATGATAGTCACCCTGGTGCAGACTCTGCCACTCATCCTGTCATTCGAAGTGGCTGCTTCACCTTCTGATGTCCCAGAAGCATCTACCCTCTGTCCCTCCCAGTGGCCATAAAGCCCTAGAGAGGACCTCCTCTCCTCTGCCTCACCCACAGACGGATACAGATTCAGCACCTCCTGTGTGCCAGGCGCCAGGAATGCCCAGCTAGGAGAGGAGCCCACCCCCTGGAACCCACAGCACGTGCAGGAATTCTGTGTGCTAAGCACTGTCTTAAGCTCACAACCATTAACTCATTAGATTTTCACAAAACAGTAATTAGGATTACTTTATCTTCATTTTGCAGATGAAGAAACTGAACTTCAGCAGGGTTAATCAGCTGGGGACATAGTGCATGCCTTTTGCAGCTACTTGGGAGGCTGAGACAGGAGGAATGCTTAGCCTAGGAGTCAGTAGCTGTAGTGTGCCATGCCCATCAAGGGTGACACTAAGTCTAGCATCAATATGGTGTCCTCCTGGTAGCGCCCACCACCAAGCTGCCAAAGAAAGGTCTTACCTGGCCCAGGTCCTAGAGGGAACAGGTCAAAATTCCTGTGCTGATCAGAAAGGTTAAATCGTCACTGTAAGTTAGGAAGAGGACGCTAAGAAAGATCTCTTTGAAGGGTGTAGAGTTCGTGCGAGGAATTCAGGGGGTTCATTCCTGGGGGACTGGCAGGCGTTGGGACTCCTGGACAGCATGGTCTGGCAGGGAACAGTAAGCTCACAGAGAAGTGGTACGGAGTGAGGGATGCCATCCATCCCGCGGGCGCCTGGGAGGCTGGGCACGGCTTGAGGAACGAGTGCGAACAGCAAGGAGGAGCTGACAGAGCCGGGATGTGACTGGTCTGGGCTGCCATGAGCACTTGAAGGGAAGACAAGAGGCAAGGTGACCAGCGGGTGCCTCCCAATGGCCTTTCTGCAGTGGTTAAAGCCCGGGAAAAAGGACGCAGTTAACCAGACACTTGTGCGTGAGGCTAACGCTCAGCCTGCGGCCAGAGACTTCCTTCTTGCTAGTTAGGGGGAGGCTCAACCTCCAGATCGGTGGCTGGGTGTGCCGACGAGGGGTCCCTTCAAGTTGCCCTCCCACCCCTAGTGGGGACCTGCGGGCGGTGGGGTGCAGGGTAAACGCGCCCACAGAGGCAAGGGCGGCGCCCGGGTTTCAAAAGTTGAGCCCCGGTAGGGCCCGGCGGGGTAGGGCTTTCTCCGAGGCCGGGCAGGGCCTCGGGCGGGGCCGGCTGGGCGGGCGCCCCTCCGCTCCGCGCCTGACCATATAAGGCCAGCGCAGCAAGCTTCTCCCGAGAGGCTGTCGTCACCGGCGTCCGCTCGCCCGCGGCACCTTCACAGGGCCGCTGCTCCGCTTCCTGCCCGGAGCTGCGACCCCGCCCACCGGACCCGCCCACCGCCGGCCCGGCCACGCCCACCGACTCGCGCACCTGCGCCCCGCCCCGCCCTATCCCGGGCGCAGCATCCCGGACCCGCGGAAGGAGCGGGTGGGCTTGTTGGGCCGGAAGCGAGGAGTGCTGCAACACCCAAAAGCCAGGGCTGAAGGTGGGAGGGAAATCTGCGTTCTCTCCGGACCGCGGACCCACTGGGCTCCGTCTTTGAACTCTCGATTCAGAAAGTGAATGTGGCCAAACCGCGGACAGGAGAGTAGTAAAAACCCACGCTACAGTTGCGTGACTGGGGTTCCAATCTCTCTAGGTTGCTTGCTGGCTTTGGGAACTGTGGACAGTTTACTGCTCTGTGCCTCAGTTTCCTCATCTGTGAGATGAGCGCGACGGCTCCTTCCACAGGATTGTGGTGCTGTTACATGTGTTACTATATGTCAGCACTTTCCATATGTTTTTGGTGGTGTTATTTACTAGTTCTTGCTGAATGGATGAAATGGTTGATCGCTGAAGGTCTGTGTCCCCAAGGGGCAGAGAGGAGTCCCCAGTACCTGTGTCTGTAATACAAAGCACAGCCTTAACCCGTGGGCTTGTTTGCCAGTGTTAGGCATTAGTATAGCTTTTAAAAACATATTTTCCATGTTTCTGTAAATTTCGGTTAGGGCCGAGAAGAACAGGGCCAGAGCAAGCTCCCGCTACACACACACACACACTGTAGTGGGCATTGAACCCAGGGCCTTGGCACTAAGCTAAGCCCCTAGCCCTTTTTAAAAAGTTGTTTTTTGCAACAGGCTGGCCACCGGGTGTGGTGGCACATGCCTGTAATCCCAGCACTTGGGAGGCTGAGGCAGGAGGATCATTGTGAGTTCAAGACCAGCCTGGGCTACACAGTGAGCTCAAGGCCAGCCTTGACTGCATAGCAAGACCCTATCTCAAAAAAAGAAATGAAAGACCCTATCTCAAAAAAAAAAAAAAAAAAAAAAAAGGAACAGGCTGGGCTCAAACTTGTGACTCTCCTGCCTCAGCCTTCCAGAGTGCTAGAATTACACCTATGCATGGCCATGTCAGTCTGGCATTCTCCTTTTTCAGCAAAGGAAAAGCCTCAGAGTGAGATCCTTAGGCTGGAGATGGAGACAGGCAATTTAACAAGACTATTTTTGATGATTTAGAGCTTCCATAGAGAGTTTAGAATTACTATCCATGCATGGTAGTGACATCATATTCACTTAATATGTTTAGTATGAAATGCTTGAAAATACACACAAGGGTATAGAGAATAATACGACTCCTTAATAATCACTTTATTTATTTGCAGCACTGGGGATTGAGCCTAGGGCCTCTCAGCACTGAGCTACATTGCTGTGTTCTATCTAATGTTTGCTTTATTATTATTTTTTTCTCTTTTTGAAACAGAGTCTCCCTATGCAGTTCAGGCTGGACTTGAGCTCACTTTGTAGCCCAGGCTGGCCTCAAACTTGCAATGATCCTCTTGCCTCAGCCTCTGGAGTACTACAATTACAGGCATGCGCCACCATTCCTGGCTTAATGTTTACTTTTATTTAGCTTTTTTTTTTTTTTTTTTTTTTTTCCTCCGGTACCGGGAATCGAACTTATGACCTTGCACTTGCCAGGCAGGTTCTGTGCCGCTGAGCTAAATCCCCAGCCCCTAATGTTTGCTTTTAAAGTATATAAATGTGTTAAGATGTGAGCTGATTAAAAGGGCCAAGAAAATAAAAGTGTAAGGGCACAAGGGCAAAACTCAGGAATGTACTAGTACCAGTGACCGGCCGGCATGCACCTGCCAGGACCAGATTGTGCCCGTGTGGATGAGCTAAGCAGGCATCTTCCTCCCGTCTGTGGCAGGGTGGGAAGAGGACTAAGTGCCCATCTGGAGTCCAGGCAGCCCGGCTCTGCCTCAGCGGCGCCCACTGGCTCACAAAGGCCTCTTCCGAGCACCTTGCCCAGCTGCCTCTCGACTCAGGCCTGGGCCTGGGTAATTGCAGCCCTGCTTCTCGCTGCCTGCCTGGTCCGGCCCCACACTGCGGATCCCAGAGCATGAGGAATATTCTAGACCATGACTCTGACTGCCTGTCTCGTTCCTGTTTAACCCCTACCCCCCAGTATTCCCCAGTGCTGGCTGGAGAAAGCCTCGCTCTTCCCCGTGCCCCACTGCGGCTTCTTCCTTACGCTTGCCACCCAGGCCGGTCTGAGCCACCGACCGGCAGGCTCTGAATATTCCACTGGTTAATGTTTAATGAGTCAGGCTGCTGCCAGAACCATCAGGCTCAGCCCAGGCGGCACCATCTGGTCCTTGCCCTCTCCTGGAGTTTAGTCTAGGGGGAGTTAAATACTTAAGTGTAACAGTAAGATAAGTGGCGAGCGCTGTAAAGGATTTATGCAGCGCCAAGTGAGTTGCAGTCTTTTGCCGAGAAGACCCCCACCTGATCCCACCCTGCCTGGCCCTTTGCCCGGTGACTCCTGTAGGCTTCCTAGATGTCTGTGTGGGGTTGTTAGCTCCCTTGGCACCCCAGTGAGTGTCCATGTTGGGGTTCTCATCACAGTGAGTGATTTATCCACCTGTCTGTCACATCTGACCCTGAACTCCTCAAAGGAAGACGTCTGGAGGCTGGTGGCCTAGTGTCGCCAGGAGCTGTGAGGTACAGGCACACAGTAGGTGCATCGCCGTCGTTGACTGTTAACACAGCAGACCTCTGTGCTTGTCTCCCAGAACAGAGCAGTTCGCCCCCGATCCACTGTCCATTCACTCGTGTGCTGCTTTCATCCACAAATCAGAGCGAGCCAACTGGCCTCCACCCGCCACACCTTGATAGGAGCCAGTTGATTGGGAGGGTGGGTGCTGGCAACGAAAAGGTCATCCTGGCTGGGCCCTCGAGGGGACAGTGCAGCATTCACACAGGCGGCCCTGGATGAAGGCAGGTTGGGGTGACGGTGTGGGAGAAGGAAGGGTCGGAAGGACACAAGGCGTGTGCACAGCTGCTGGGGTGGGGCACCTGAGCAGGCAGCCAGGTGTGTGGGCAAGGAGCTGAGGGCCACATGGGAGGACCTGCGGCCAGCTCCCACTCCTGCTGGCAGACAAAGGGACTGGAAGCATGATCTCAGGCCGTGGCTTTCCAAAGCTTTGTGAATGTGACCAGGAGCAAGAAACACATGATATCACAACCTGGCATAAGGCATAAAACTTTAAACCAGTTTCAGGACAGAATTCATGCTTACTACCCGGAAGGCACTCCATTATTGTCTCCTCTATTTTATCACAATCATCATTAATCATTCTGATTTATTTAATCAATGAAAGTACTGCATTAGCTTCAAGATCCGCCAGGAGGTCACGACCTGCAACTTGAAAAACACGGATGTCAGCAGCCTTCTAATCCCATACCTACTGATCAAGGAGTGGCTGTGGGGTCAGGTCCGTCAAGCTCCCGCAGCCATTCGCCCCCTGCTCCCCATCATCAGAAGACCCTACAGCTGCAGGCTTGGCTCTCAGGGGGACAGGTTCAAACAAAGGGGAAGAGAGCAAGCTCAGGCCACTTCCTCTGCCCTGGTTCTTCCCTGCCTTCCACCCCCAGCTCTGAGAAGCTGGCCGCCGGGCCTGGTGCATGGGCTGGGAAGTAGGAGGTTGAAAGCCTGGCTGCGTTCTGGCTTCTGGCCCATCCCTGGGGGCCGCTCCTGCCTTCCATAGTGGGGATGGCTCTTGTCTGTGCTGACCACCTCCCCTGCGGGCCTGCCATCTTGGCTTGGCAGAGCATGGGGACAAGGGTTGGAGTCCCTGCGCTCTCTCCCATCCAAGCCTCTGTCCAAACGTTTCTTCCACCTGAGTTGTCTGAGGCTTTGGGAGAGATCTGGGCAACTTAGGGAGGGGAGGTGACACCAACTCACAGCCTTTAACTTCCAGAGCAGTAGAGCCAGAAGGGACCTTGGAAATGGGATCCAGACCCCTCCTTTCACTGATGTGGAAACTGAGGTCCTAGGAGGAGAAAAAGCTCACGCAGATTGCACAAGAGCTAGTCTCAGCAGGACTGGAGACTCGGGGGTCCTGGCTGTGAATCCATTGCTTTTTCTTTCCATTGTTGGTCTGCACAAAGGGAGAGTGGGAGGGAGACTTAAGAAATGTCCTGTTTGCAAGAACTGCCTCGGAGGCCTACATCCTGCTGTGCTTCTGCCCCCACCCCCCGCCCGCCACTTTCTGCGGACCCTGCCAGGGCCCCTGCCCTGTGTGGGCTGCAAAAGAAGGGCGTGGGACAGTGACGTCCCGGCTCTGACCCTGTGCTGCCTTGGCCTCTCTTCTGCGAGTGTGGGGTGTTCCTCCCACCTGCAAGACTGACAGGAGGAAGATAAAACCTGTGGGAACGTGCTGCTTTCCTGGGGCCTCAGGATTAGGACAGTGGCTTCTAATCCTTTCTTTCTGGAGACACTGGATATGGCCTGAAATCCAGGCAGAGGCGTCCTCCCCTGCCCAGAGCAGTCTTGGCTCCCCGGACCCTCGGGGCACTCTGCCTGCTCAGCTTGATTTCCTTTTCCACATTTCTCATCCCCGTCTGGACCCGCAGCTTTTTGGGGCCAGACCCACCCGAAGTCCTCCCTGCCATCAGGGAGCCCTACAGAGGGGAAGGGTTTGCGGTCTTGGTCAAAAGTGCCTGTGTTCAGGTTCCTACTGCTGGCGTGCTTGTGGCCTTGGGGGTGGCTTAGTTCCCCTTGCTGAGCTCAGACTTCTCATCCATGTACTGAAGACCATGGAAGTCTGCAGCCATACCACCACGAACACGCCTGATCTCCTCTGAAGACCATGGGCGGCACTTTGAAAATCAAGTGAGGGGCCGTGCGTGGTGGCACACTGAACTGCATAGTGAAACCCTGTCTCAAAAAGACAAAGTGATGGGGCTGGGGATTTAGCTCAGCGGCACAGTGCCTGCCTGGCAAGTGCAAGGTTGTGAGTTCGATTCCTGGTACCAGAAAAACAACAACAACAAAAAGACAAAGTGAATTAGTGCTGTGGCTGGCATAAAGCAGGTACTCGGTAGCTGTGGGTCACAGGGATGTATTAAGCTGCATTTCCTACAGCCGGGTGTGGTGGCGCATGCCTGTAATCCCAGCACTGGGAGGCTGAGGCAGGAGGATCATTGCAAGTTCGAGACCAGCCTGGGCTACAAAGTGAGCTCAAGGCCAGCCTGAACTGCATAGCAAGACTCTGTCTAAAAAAGACAAAAATAGGGGCTGGGGATTTAGAGGGGCTGGGGATTTAGAGGGGCTGGGGATTTAGAGGGGCTGGGGATTTAGCTCAGCGGCAAAAAGCGCCTGCCTGGCAAGCGCAAGGTCGTGAGTTCGGTTCCCGGTACCGGAAAAAAACAAAAAACAAAAAACAAAAAACAAATAAAATAAAATAAAAAAATAAAAAAGACAAAAATAAAAATAAAAATAAAAAAAGGCTGCATTTCCTCCAGGAGCGCGAGCACCCTAAAGAGAAAGAAGTCACACTGCTGTGCCTAGTACTATGCTGAATGCTGTTCCTACATCATCTCCAGGTGCCTGCTAGGGCCCCTGTGAGAGAAAGATGCTCATCATCTCATTTCACAGACTCATTTCCCTGAGGCTCGGAGAGTGGAAGGACAGTCCAGGGTCACACCCAAGTCTCCCTGGCCACAGGGCCTTTGACTGTCCCATCCTCATTGTTTCAATGCATTCCTGCCACTTGGACACCCCTCCTGGTCCTGACAGCAACAGCTCTGATCTCTGGCCTGTCCTTTCTTCCCCAGACCTGGGAAATTGATTCTGAGTAATTAAGCAGAATAAAAATGGCAGTGGAGGTCTGGACTGGAATTCAACTTGCTGAGCTGCTGGGAGGGAGGAAGGCCAGATGCCTGTACTCAAAGGGCAGCCAACTCCCAGGGACACTTCTTCCCAGGCTGATGCGGGCTCTGGTTTCTGTGCCTTTGGTCATTGCTCCTGAAAGAGAGGACTTTAGGGTTAGGAGTCTCTGCACTCAGGCTGAAGAATCCCAGGCTGGGTTCACTTCCTCATCACTGGCCGGGTTTGGGGCCCAGATCTTCAGGATGTGGTCTTCAGATGCCGTGACTCACACCGCCCTCCCTCCCTCCCCGAGTCTCTCGCAAAGCTCAGCTTGTGAGGAAGAGTCAAATTCTTCTGTGGGTCACAGTTTACATAGTTTGTCCCTGGGGTTGGAGGTCCCACCCCAACCAAATGCAATGGAGGAGGGCGATCCCTACAACAGACTGTTTGTGTTGCCCACTCTACCCGCTGAAATCCTCACCCCCAAGCCAATGGCACGAGGAGGTGGGGCCTTTGGCAGTGATTAGGTCAGGAGGGTGGGACGGGACTAGTGCCTTTGTAGAAGAGACCCCAGAAAGCTGCTTTACCCCTTCTACCATGTGCGCACACAGTGAGAAGACCGTTATCTAGGAGGAAGAGCATTCTCACCAAAGACTGAATCTATAAGCACCTTGGCCTTGGATTTCCAGCCTCTTGAACTATGAACTGTGAAGAATAAATATCTGTTGTTTGGCAGCTTGAATGGACTAAGACTGTCACCAGGCAGGGTCCACAGAGCTCCCAAAGCAAAGATGGGGATCCTTGACTTCCTCCATCCAAGAGGCAGGTTGCACGTTCTCTGACTTCTGTCACAGAAAAAGAATTTTCCAGTGAGAGGTGTAGAGAGATTTACTAGGAAGAAGTTTTTTTGGTTTTGTTTTATTTTGTCTTTTTGAGACAGGGTCTCACTATGCAGTTCAGGCTGGCCTTGTGCTCACTTTGTAACCAGGCTGGTCTTGAAGTCACAGTGATCTTCCTGCCTCAGCCTCCCCAGTGCTGGGATTACAGGCATGCACCACCACGCCCGGCTAGGCAGAAGTTTTCAAGTTCACATTCAAAGAGAAAATGTGGGCCCTGCAGAGGGAGAGAGATACCATGTGGCCTGGAGCAGGTATATTTACAGGGACTTCAGCATGTCCCTAGGAGATGTACTCGGGTGTCTGCGGGGGCTGCCCATTTGCCCATTCTGTGGGCTCTGCTAAAAGGCAAACGGTTGATTTGGGTTGGAAGCTGAGATACGCTCTCTATTCATAATAGCTTCTGACGATGGGGGTCAGTAGGAGGGGGCCTAGTGCACAGCTGAAACGTATAGGTACAGACCCCAAGTTTACAAGCTTGTCTTTAAGACTCTTATGAATTTTTGCCTGAAGGAAATAAGCTTGAATAAGTTATGTGTCCTGAAGCTGCAGTTTTTCTTCAAATATACAATTTTTTTTTGTCTTTTTGAGACAGTGTCTCAGTATGGAGTTCAGGTTGGCCTTCAGCTCACTTTGTAGCCCAGTCTGGTCTCAAACCCTCTTGCCTCAGCCTCCCAAGTGCTGGGATTACAGGTATGCCCACCGTGCCTGGCAAAACATACAGTTTTAATCTTATACTTTTAAATAGTATATCCTTTCTATTTATCTTTATTTCTCCTCTCCAGCCTCAAGACCAACCCCAAAGGAAGGGGGTGCTTTGATCAGAAAAGGGGGGCAGGGATGCTGAGAGGGTAAGTCAGAAGCTTTGCACTTCAGCAGTCCACCCATCTGCCCCAGTCCTGGATCCCATGGAAATGGATTTCTCTTTTCCTGCTTCCCTTCCTTCCTCTTTCCTCCCTTCCAGGCACCCTGTTACACCCTGGGAACAGGAAGAGTCAGACCCAGACGGCCTGGGGCAACTCATGAGGTCAACTTCAGCAGTCATGGTTCCTCTTCCAAGGCGAGGCCAGGACAGGCATTGCCAGTCGATCCCAGCACCCTTTCCCTCCGAGCCTGGACTCAGCCTCAGGATTCAGCTCTTTCTTCACAGCGCTTCAGGCAGCCAGTTCTCATCAACTGGAGTTGGTCCAGACACGGAAACTCTTTGCTGTGCCTAGCCAGCGACATTCCTCTTTCCCATAACCACCCTGACATTTAAAACGGCTGAATTTCCCTCTGCCCGCCCCAAGAGAAAGCTCTTGCTGGTTTGGGTACCTTCAGCCTCAGATCCTGGTCTGTCGCTGAATTGACTCATGGGCAGGAATCTGCACACAGTTCTGCGGACAAAAAGACTGTATTTGTGTCTCCGCTTCCTGAGACTCAGGTTTTAGATGAAATCTCTGTTGTTACTGTGATAATTTCTTACAAATTTTGTGGCTTGAAAGAAGGCAATTCAGGGGCTGGGGATTTAGCTCAGCGGCATAGTGCTTGCCTGGCAAGTACAAGGTCGTGAGTTCGATTCCCGGTACCAGAAAAAAGCAAAAAAAGAAGGCAATTCATTATTTTACATTATTGTACATTGCAAGTCCACAATGAAGCCTAGAGGGCTAAAATCCAGGCGTGAGCAGGGACCCATTATTCTATCATGGCTTCCTTAACCATATAATGGGCGTAGGGATAACCTATTTCACAGACTTGCAGGGACGATTATGTAAGGTGAGTCATGTGACACATTTGCTTGTTATTTCGTGAGAGATTCAGTGCTGCTAGGTGCAGGGATTACAGCATGTCTGCAGAGCCCTGACCGCTGGCTCCCGGGCCTGTGTTCCTTCTCTGCTCTTCCTGCCTGGCCCCCTCTGTCCAGCTGTGGGGTGGACATGGGAGGGAAGTTGCTACACAGTGACATTTGTGTTGCATGTTTTTTTCTGGTTCTGTCGGCCCCACCTCCAGGGTTTTATAGAGATCCTCTGAGAGCCTGCTAGAGATGCAAGCTCTAGGCCCCTTCCCTGACTAGCTGTACTGGGGACTCTGCCAGGATCTAGGTTGGACAGAGCTCATGGGGGTTCTAACGTCCCTTGGGTGTGACAACAGCTTGTGGAGTCCTCCCAGTTGCAGGGTAGCTGCAGGGCCATCACCCCATTTCACAGAAGTTGCTGAGGCTCAGAGGGGAGTGGCTTGCCTAAGGCAGGCGTGGGTTGGGTTGGGACCCCAGCAAAATCAGTGTTCTTTCAGCATCACCATATACCTCCGCCTGGGCGCCTCCCTCCTGGGTGCCACCTGGACACAGATCCAGGGCCAGGTGCTGCAGGGAAGCCCCACCCAGCCGCACCCAGGGCTCAGCCCCAGTCCTTCCTGGGACCTCTCCCTCCTGGCCTGGCCTGTCGTGTGTCATTCTGGGCAGGGCCTTGCATTCAGCTGGCAGTCTGGGGGTCTGACAACTTATTTATACTCAAGGGTAAACATCTGCAAGGCCTGCAGGCCCGTTCTTGCTCAGGGAGTGTGTCTGGTAAGCCGAAAGGAAGAGAGCTGAAGGCAGGGTCTCAGCACCTTGTCGGGAACGTCTAGAGGAAATCTCTGTGTTTGCAAGGGAAGGCCACTGTCCCCGGCACAGGCAAATGGTGTCTTGGAAAACAGCACAGGAGCTGCTATGACTGCCCGAGCTTCATTTGCATCCTGGACACCAGCATCATCCGTCCCTCTGGGTTCCATGGGAGGAGACACCAACTGGCCTTTAGCAGGTGACCTGTGGTGGGCTGCTGATCACTGCGCCCCAGGGCAGTCAGCCAGGTGACAAATCAGGGAGGTCCACGGGAGACTGTCTCTTTCCTGGGACAGCACTTTCTCCATCTTGCACCTGCCAAGGACACCCGGGGTCAGGGGGCTAGGCGTGACCCTGCTTCCGGAAGCGCTCCTTGATGGCGGCTGAGCTTTCCGCCCTGCAGAAGGCTGTGAGGGCTGTGGAGGGCGGGGCTGGCAGTCAAGGAGTCAGGGCCCTGGGATCTTGCCCCGCCTATGTCACTCACCCGCTGTGTGGCCTGGACAATTCTCTGTCCCTCTCTGGGCCTCAAGACTCACCTGGAAAACCTAGGTGCGATATAGTGATGTGTAAAAGCCCTTCCCCCAT